TTGACCTGCTAGTTTCACGGATGAGCGGATCTCGCTCGTGGACTGGTTCGGGGAAAAGGGAGCGCTAAACGTAGCGAACTGATGCAGCGCTTGAGCGGGTCAGACCTTGGCAGGGACACTCAACGGGTCGAATCAGCACGTCCATCTCATCGACATCATGGCGTAAGTATGGGGTCTTCTGGTCTCAGATGCGGGTTTTCCCCCTGACGAAACAAGCTCCCAGAGTTATCTCGCGAAGGATGAGGGGAGCACTCCATAGCTCAAGCAGGTGATAGAGCGCAGGTTTGTTTGCCATGGCTCGGCAAAAGGATAAATCCGTGCTGCTGCTCAGAGTTCAATCGTATAAGGTAGGACAAATAGCCTCGTCTATAGTAGGACTATAGTGCGAAAGATCAGATAAGGGACTGCATGGTTTCCCGGCCGACACACTGCGCCCCTCCGAAGCAATCATCCTCTCCTTGTGTTCGGAGCTTGGATCAAGAGATAATAACTGAAGGGATATAAGCGCCGGGAGACGATCACCAGCCGGGCGTGATGAGAGCGATCGCGGCTGCAAAGTCAGTCTATCGAGCTCCGTGACCGCCCGAAGCGCAGAAGCCTGTGAAAACGAGAAGCCACCAGCCGATCGGACGACGATCGCCAGGCAGTGCAGTGGACTAACTATCAAAACAGCGGAGAGCCAGCAGCCTCCGGGCGTTTTGACGTTCACGAGGCGGAAAAGTCTTTTTTTTCTCTCGATATCAAAAAAATGTTGGAGCTAAAAAGAGTTTTCACGGCCCCGCTGATCGTCAGGGATAATTTCCAAAATGGGATAACTGCCGGAAAAGTTTCCGGAGAATCGGGTCAAAGGGCCGAGCACGTGTTTCCTTATTCCTGGGTGATTAGTAAGACGAAGCTGAGTCAGTACTTATCTAATACTAATTCACGTGACTAGAGCCTTCGGATGGAATATTATTTGACCGACTTACGTAATAATATTAGGTTTCTGAACATTTAAAGTTTATCAGATAAAAAAAAAAAATAGCAAAATCTAAAAAAAAAAAAAAGACGACCTTGAGGAGGAGCTTTGAAGGTCGACGGCTGAAAGTGATCGGAATATATAAGAGGGAAAGAAGAAGAAGAAGCAGAGGAAAAGAGGAAGAATGGAGACGGCACAGGACCATGCGAAGAAGCGGAAGCGAAAGCACAAAAGCTCTGAAGGGAAGAGCGCAAAGCCGCACCAGCAAGAGCCAGAGGCGGTAGAAGCAGAAACACAAACGCCTACCAAGAAGCAGAAAGTCGACCAGCACGACGACGATAGCGAACATGCTGAGATTGAGAATGGCGTTGGGACCGGAAAGGATGTACCCGCCCTGCCATCCGCGGATACAATGGCTCTGCCTACACAGGAGGCCGTGTCGAATAAATTCAGCGACCTTTCGCTTTCAGAACCGACGGTCAAGGCGATTTCCGGCATGGGCTTTACGACCATGACTGAGATACAGCAGCGAGGTATCCCGCCTTCGTTGGCGGGCAGGGATATACTGGGTGCAGCGAAGACGGGGTCAGGAAAGACGTTGGCGTTTTTGATACCTGCCGTGGAGATATTGCGGTCGTTGAAATTCAAGCCTAGAAATGGTGAGATCATGCGTCTTTCGCTTTTGGCTCGTAGAATATACGGTGATTGGTGCGTGTTTGGCTAACGGAACGGTGTGTAGGGACTGGCGCGCTTATTATTACGCCGACGCGAGAGCTGGCGCTACAGATCTTTGGCGTTGCGAGGGAGCTGATGGAGCACCATTCGCAGACGTATGGGGTGGTGATTGGTGGTGCGAACAGGCGTGCTGAGGCGGAGAAGCTGAATAAGGGGGTTAATGTGCTGATTGGGACACCCGGGCGGCTGCTGGACCATCTGCGGTCGACGGAGGGGTTTGTCTTTAAGAACCTGAAGACTCTTGTCATTGACGAGGCGGACAGGTAGGCACAAGACAAATTCAAAGTGTGTTTTGAGTGATGCTAATATGTTATAGAATTCTGGAGGTCGGATTCGAAGACGAGCTACGACAAATCATATCCATCCTGCCCAAGGAGGACAGACAGACGATGCTGTTCTCCGCAACGCAGACGACCAAAGTGGAGGATCTCGCACGCATATCCCTGAAGCCCGGCCCGCTGTACATCAACGTCGACCACAAGAAGGAGCACAGCACGGTGGACGGGGTCGAGCAAGGCTTTATAATCTGCGAAGCGCACAAGCGGTTCCTGCTACTGTTCTCGTTTCTGAAGAAAAACGCCAAGAAGAAGATCATCGTCTTCTTTTCCAGCTGCAACTCAGTCAAGTACTACTCTGAGCTGCTGAATTACATCGATTTGCCGGTGCTCAGTCTGCACGGCAAGCTGAAGCAGCAGAAGCGAACGAACACGTTCTTTGAGTTCTGCAACTCGGCGCAGGGCACGCTTATTTGTACCGACGTTGCTGCGAGAGGCCTGGATATCCCGGCAGTCGACTACATTGTGCAACTTGACCCGCCAGACGACGTAAGTAGTTACTTTACTTTTTGCGTCTTTATATGTATGTATATACTAACGGGTTAGCCGCGAGACTATATCCACAGAGTCGGCCGAACGGCCCGAGGCAAGGGCAAGGTCGGACGAAGCTTGATGTTCCTGCAGCCGTCGGAGGTAGGCTTCATCAACCATCTGAGAGAGGCGCGGGTGCCTGTGGTGGAGTTTGAGTTTCCTACCAAGCACATTATCAACATCCAGTCGCAGCTGGAGAAGCTGATCAGCCAGAACTACTACCTCAACCAGGTAAGCCTCTTAACTCTGTTTATATATAGGGTGATGCTAATTGTGTAGTCTGCGAAAGAAGGGTACCGGTCGTATCTGCATGCGTATGCATCGCACTCCCTGCGGTCTGTGTTTGACGTGAACAAGCTGGACCTGGTCAAGGTGGCCAAGAGCTATGGCTTTACCACGCCGCCGCGGGTGGACATTACGCTGGGAGCGAGCATGAGCCGGGACAAGAAGGTGCAGGCACGACGGACGTATGGCAGCCAGCCGAAGGGCGCGAGATTCAAGCGAAAGCACGACGATTAATCACTTCTTCTACTACTTTATAGATGTGTTGATGTTGATGTTCAGCGTTGATAAAAATAAACTTTAGTTGTCTTAGTCAGCTCTCACGTGCCATCCTAATAGAGTAAAGCGTCAAAGCATCAAAAATCGAGATATTTTTTGATAGACGAGAAGAGAAGACAGAGAAGAAAACAGCCATTGAGCCACGACGAAGCACGATGGTGGCCGTCAGCACAGCCCTTGCCTCGCGGCAGCTCTTCTCGAGTGAGTCTTAGTCTTATTGTATTGAGGGGAAAGTACTAACTGGCCAGACATGTCCCGTCGGAGCATGAGCTCAACAGCCCATCTGCACTTCCTCCGCGAGTCTCTAATGAGCAGCAACACCAACAGCAATAACAACAACACCGATAAACCCGAACGCTTCTCCTCAGCAGATCTATCATCAGCCAGAATCTCTCACCGTCCTCCAGCCGTGAAAAAGGGCTCTCTTGGCTCCGGCTCTATCTTTTCCGACGGCGAGGTATCGACATCCGGCCCAGCGCCTAAACGGCCCCCGAAGAAAGAAGGAGATACTACTGAAGACGTGGAGCACTCTACTGCCCTTGTCGACCGCAACCGAGACACGATATCTCGCACTCTGATACCCCATCCCGAGCGACGAGCCCGATGGGAGCGCAAGATGGTCATCCGCGCCGTCAAGAACCGCGGCCAACTTACGCGTGAAGAGGCGATTCAGCAGAGCGAGCGAGAGCTACAGAGTCGATCGCACTGGTTCAAGACGTCGGTGAAGAAGCTGGGTCCTCTTGCAAGACAGGTGGCGGGCAAGAAGGTCGAGGACGCGATAATGCAGATGAGGTATAGTAAGAAGAAGGCGGCGAAGGACGTGTTGGCGTTTCTTGAGCAGGCGAGGAATGAAGCTATTGTCAGTCGAGGGATGGGGATGAAGTCGGCGGAAGACAGTCAAGAGGTGGAGATCAAGTTGAAGGATGGAAAGAGGTATACTGTCAGGAACGAGAGGGAGATATATGTAGACCAGGCGTGGGTGAACCGGGGCCCGTATGGAGTGGACTTTGACCACCGGGCGAGGGGACAGATCAATAGGCTGCGTCCGCCGTATACTGCGTTGGCGGTGGTGTTGAAGGAGGAGAAGACGCGGGTGAGGGAGTGGCGGGACCGGACGGAGAAGGCACTGAGGGAGAGGAGGGAGAAGCTGTGGGTGCAGATGCCTGACCGGAGAGTCACGGGGCAGAGCCAGTATTATTCCTGGTGATCTACTTGGTATTATATTACTTGTAGGATATGTATATTAGAATGCAGTTATCATTCAGTGGAGACAAAGACAAACAGATAAGTGACAAACAGAAGTATCAAGGTATCCACGCAGTAGAAGAAGTAGAAGAAGTATCAGCCACACTGTAAAAAGAAGAAGAAGTAGAAGAAGTATCAGCCACACTGTAAAGAGAAGAAAAAGAAGAAGATTAACTGTCTTTGGCTCGAGATGGTCTTTTTGATGGCCGCCGGAGATTCGGGAGTATCTCGATGTCTGGGAAGAAGGGCTCCTGGTTGTTCTGGACTAAGGAGAGGAAGTGAGTGCGGAGGTCGTTGATGAGCTGTCTGATCTCGTCAAAGGACTTGTTGGGCCCCACGCAGTCGTGCAGCCAGTCCGGGACCGGCCGGGGGATGTTCTTTGGTGATTTCTTAGAAGAAGTCGAAGGAGAAGTAGTAGTAGTATCAGTAGGAGTAGTCGGGGGGAGCCTCTCTCTGCGTCTGAGGGTGAGGTCAAAGGACTCGACGCCGCCCCAGGCCTGCATGTTGGCGATGGTGTCGAGGGCGAGGCGGCACTGGGTGAAGGGCCACTCGTCGTTGCGGTACCGGGCCCGCTGGTAGTGCTTGCGGCAGTAGTAGATCCAGACGGCGTCGGGGACGTTGACGGTGCACTTCTTGTTCCTCCCGAAGATGTGGGAGATGACCTTGCGGTAGTGGGAGGAGCCTGTCGAGCAGGACTCGTCGAACTGGCACTGTCTGTCCATTAGATGAAGAAGTAGTGGTAGAAGTAGAAGTAGTGGTAGAAGTGGATGTAGTGGCAGAGCAGTGAGTCGAGATGAAGACGGAGACAGACGAAGAAGAAGAGAAGAAGATGAAGAGAGAAGGGTATTTATGTGTTGAGGGAGGCCAGAAGTGAAGACAGCAATCATCATGCAAGCAAGCAGCAGCAACACAGCCAGAGAAGTGAGTGGAAGCCGGCAGGAGATTCACTTGAGACGACGGACTCGGCAAGTTCCATCAGAAGAGACTGACCTGGAACTGTCTTGAATCTGTGTCTTGTGTCTTCTGTCAGTCCTGCCAGTCTTCCAGCATCCAGCATCAACTGACCTTTATAGTGACAGACCGAGGGTCAACCATCATATCCCGCCCTGCCGTCGACTCTGTATCTGCCACCCGAAGGATGCTATCCTCACCACCACCGCTGGGGCTCAGCCTGGTGGTGAGGATAGTTGGAGGAGAAGAGAAGAAGAGAAGAAGAGAAGAGAAGAAGAAGAAGAAGAGAAGGAAGCAGTTTTATAGACTGTCTGCTGGCTGTCTTGTCGTCGACGAGGGAGTCACAGACAGACAGGCAAAAGTCGTTCTTCTCTTCTTCTCCTCTCTTCTTCTTAGGCAGACAGTCTACTCTTCTCTTCTCTTCTCTATTATTATCTTCTTCCCCTCTGGGTATCTCCAGGACTGACATTTTAGTCTCCATCTTATCTCCATCTTATCTCCAGGTATTCTCTGATGTCTTTGGCTTAACATCTCAGCATCTTAACATCTATAGTTATCTTCTTCTTCTTCTTCTTCTTCTTCTCTTTTTCTTCTTCTTCTGCTTAAGTAAGTCAACCTCGTGCACTTCTGATTGGGCAGGAAGAGCCTTACTAGGAGATCAACAGTAAAGAGTAAGAGTAAGACTAAGAGAGAGACTAAGGAGAGTCTTCTGTCTTCTTCTCTTCTTCTCTTCTTCTCTTCTTTGGCTGGACTTAGTAGATGCCTTATCGATAGCTAGTTAGAAGACAGAAGACATAAAAGACAGACAAGAGAGAGATCTCCATCTCCATCTTCATCTTCATCTCTTTTGTCTATTCTTACTAGTCACTGCTTCTGCTAGATGGAGGTCGACGTCACCGCCTCTTCCCAGTCGGCCTCTTAGACTTCTCTTTTATTCCTACTTCTTCTTCTTCTCTGTCTCTGCAGACTCGAAGATGCCCAAGGACGACTCCCTGGTCGGTGATGCTGGCGATGCTGGCGATGCTGCTGGCGATGCTGGCGATGCTGCTGGCGATGCTGGCGATGCTGCTGGCGATGCTGGTTCAACGACCGACCTGCCAGTCGACGACTCCTCCAAGCTGCGCGCCTTTCTCTCCATCCTCCGCAAGTAGGTCTACTCTAAGATAAAGAGAGAGAGATACTGACTGTGCAGCTTCATCGGGGTCTCGGACATCGCTTCGGTGCGCTTCTCCCTGCCGGCACAGCTGCTCGAGCCCATCCCCAACCTCGGTCAGTCTCTAGTCTCTTCTTCTACTTATACTACTTCCTTCTACCTAGATATACTTACTCTAGCAGAGTACTGGAACTACCTCGACAGGCCAGAGAGCTTTGCCAGGTGAGATCTCTTCTCTCTACTCTGATCTGCCAGCTAAGTGAAGTAGCATAGGAAAGTCGGACGACGAGCTGGGGCGCATGCTCGAGGTCCTGCGCTTCTGGTTCACCAAGGACCTGGTAGGCTTGTCTCCTCTACTTATCAGGACCATGCTGATTGAGAAGAAATACGTCAAAGGGAAGCCCTGCAAGCCTTACAACTCGGTCTTGGGCGAGTTCTTCAGGGTAGGCCACCTGCCGCTATCTCATCATGCTTCAACTGACTAGATCAGTGCAACTGGGAGGTCAAAGACACCGAAGCCGCAGTCTCGCTGCCCGCAGCCAAGTCGGCCTCCAGGGAGTCCATCGCCCCGTCCATCGCGTCCACTGCTGCCTCAACTTCTTCAGCCGAAACAGTCAAGATATCCTACATCACGGAGCAGACGTCCCACCACCCCCCCGTCTCCGCTTTCTGGGTCGACTGTCCCCAGCGTGGCATCACCGCCCGCGGCTTCGACCAGATCAGCGCCAAGTTCACGGGCACCTCAGTCCGCATCACCCCGGGCCAGCATAACCTCGGCATCTTCATCACCCTCGCCCGCCGCGACAACGAAGAGTACCGTCTCACCCACCCAGACGCCCATCTCGGCGGTCTCCTGCGCGGTGCTCTTTCGGTCTCCGTCGCGGATACTTGCTACGTCACCTGTCCGCGCACCAAGATAAAGGCTATCCTGCAGTACCTCGAGGACGGCTGGCTCGGTAAAGCCCAGCATCGCGTCGTCGGAGCCGTCTTCAGATACGATCCTGACAACGACTGCGTGGCTCGTATCAAGGATATCCCTGCTCCACATCTACTGGCTGAGATTTCAGGATCATGGCATGAACGGATATATTTTAACTTGCCTTCTAATCCGAAGGATAAACAGCTGCTCATCGACGTCACGCCGCTCTTCCCCGCGGCCAAAATCACACCGCCGCCAGAGAAGCAGTTGGCGTATGAGTCCCGGCGGCTCTGGGCTGATATCACTGCCGCCATTCACGCGAAACAGTACTCCCTTGCAACCAGGCTGAAACACGAGCTCGAAGAGTCCCAGCGCTCCAAGGCCGCCTTGCGCAGGGAGAATAAGCACGAGTGGACGCCGAGGTTTTTCGCTGTTGCTGACCAGCATATCCAGCCTGGCAGACCGCATCTTACAGATGATGGTCGGAAGGCTCTGGATAATCTGCATCGTGATGTGTTTGACCTCGATGAGAAGCTGACTTCTTCGGGCGAGTTTGATTACTCTACTTCTTCTTAACTTCGACTTCGACTTATCCTTTTTAATCCGGGCTCGGGCGCAGGTTCGCTTCACTTATCTGCCTACTACTTGCTATCTTGCTATCTATATAGTTGTCGTGTTGTCGGTGCATTGTTCAGGTTGCATTACAGTTCCAGCTATAAAAGTTCGTTCATTTAAGTTATAGTTCTCGTTGATGCGGCTGAAGAGCCGCCTGGCCCGGCCCGTCCATCAAAAAAAACCTTCATCCTCCAGACTCTCCCTA